TTTTTTTTTTAATTATGTTTGATTGGGTTCTTAAAACACTAATGTGAATATAATGTGGACTTAAGACACTATCACAACTAAAAAGAAAGTTTAAATAGTTTATCTATTTACTTGCATGTCATGTGACCATCACTGATCTCACCTCAGAAAACTGGAAACATGCAAATGTGTCATTGAATTATTGAAATATTAACTTGAAATCTCAGAGCATTTTTCAAGTAAATATTTATCGCTTAAGGGGTTCGGCGGATTAAAAAGTTTGAGAATCCCTGGTCTGTGTCATTGGTGTCAGGCTAAAGATGATGGGCATCTTTGGAATATGCCCACAGCATCATTTCAATCCTGGAATGACTGATTAGTGCTTACTTATGATTTTATGGTTTATCAGCATTGAGACATTTCTCTAAGTGTCCAGGTGATCATTTCCAGGTGATGTAATCACTTCCGAACAATGATGCCACACAGGTTCTTCAGGACACATTCCCTATACAGCAACTTCACAAGAATGTTTCATGTTGACTTATCTCAAGTGAGAATTGAATTGAGACTGGAGATCCCACTATAAATTGGGCTCTGCTATGATTCATCCCTGACAACCAGAGAAATGTGTGAACGAGGGTGTTGAGACAGACAAACTGTGGGAGCAATTTGTAGGGTGTTAATCACCAGCATAACACTGTTTTCCGGTTATTATGATCATGAATACATAGTAGTTATATGGGTGACATGAAAATTTAAGTAGTGACAGCAGTGTCCTGTAATGACAGACTTCAATGTTTTTGTTTATTCTTGTGTAATGTAATTTTTATGACCTGGATTACTTTGTGTAAATAGTGACATGCAACAGATTAAATTTGCAGTTTATTAAAATGTTATTTAAAAAAAAAATTAAAAGAGGGTGGCCGGTCACACACCAACCAAAATAAGTATTTTCCCTTGTACAATATAATACAATACAGCTTTTATATACATAATTAATTTAGGAAAATAAAACGAGTAAAACAATAAAATAGAAGAGACAAAAACAGTCACATTAATGGCTTAATTTTAATAAAGAATAAAGCTATAATCTACACTATAGTGAAAGTTTATACCATGAACTAAACTATTATTTCTAAACCAATATGTAATGGTGAAGATGCTGTTTATCTTTCTGACAGCCACGAAAGCAAACTTTGGGAAGTATGCTGGATGTACAGCTGCAATTTCTTTGCACAAGTACCGTATTTACCTTTTCGAAAGGTCCATGAGTACCCCAGAGAAGATCTTCTCGCCCAAGCGAAACGACACCACGAGCGCATCGTCAATGATGTGATCCAGCGTGACTCGAACCTCGGAGCCGAGCATCAGGCGCTCAACGGCGCCGGGCTCCGCCGGACACAGAACCGGGTCTTTCGTCTCCGCCGACTCCCTGTCCGGTTCGCTGAGGTCCGTTTTGAAGCTCTGCTGATGAAGAGGATGCGAGCGCACTTCCTCCGCCTCTGCTGCTGACATGAGCGACTGATCCACCTCCGCTGGAAGTTCGGAAGAGTCCTTACTGGAAACAGTAGAAAAGTCACTCATGCTGCTCTGACCCACCGATTCTCCCAGCGAGGTCTCTTCCGCAGCGGACAGGGAGTCCAGGTGATCTGAGGGGTGCGGGATGTCATGGAAAGCATCCTCGTGAGTTTTGAGTTCCGACCCGGGAGCATCGGATGCGGGTTCGGGATCCGGCTGCGTAAAGCCTATGAGTTCACACTCCAGATCGGTAGGATGGCTTGACGCGGAATTGGAGTCGTATTCGACAGCCAGAGACAGTCCAGTTTTGGGCTCCGACGGAACCTGAGCGGGAAGGGAATGCAAGAAGACCACAGAGGGCTGGGAGTCTGAGATGGAGCTGGGGAGCAGAAGGCAGGGGCTGGATTCGAGAGCACTGACCTCGTTTGCAGCCTCCACCTTCGGCGAGAAGGATTCCTCATAATCTGTGCACATGTAGTCCATAAGCACGGGCTGCTCGGCTGTGCCCAGACGGCCCCAGGACCCACCCGTGTCGGTGCGCTCTCCGTCCGCATGGGCAGCGAGGGCTTTTCCCGCGGCTTGAAGGTCCGGCCTTCTGATTTCCATTTGGACCTGGCTGCATTCCTGAACTGCATCCACATCCTCGGATCGGTGACAAAGCTCAATTTCCGGGACGGAGGGGGCCTCTAGGTCGACCACATGTTCTCCTGGCTCGGGTTCGTAGTCCACCCCGTCCCCCGCTGTTGTTGATGCCGCAGCAGCTCCTGGCTCCGCAGCCACGGCCGCCATTTTCTTTCCGCTTTGCAACTACTACTTGGCCCTGTCCTCCTGATAAGATAAGAGCCCGCCCACTTACAACTACTGGCACTTCCCATTGGCCGCTTCAACATGCGGTTTTCATTGGTTGGCTTATGTTCTTGCCGTTCAAGGAAATCCCTTGAAACGCTATTGTGATTGGCTTCTATTACGTCAATATACTTTATTATGAAGATACAACTTTGGCGCCACCAGGGGCGATGTTGAGTTGTATATTTACGTCAGGGTTTGTTGGTGTGGTCCATTTTTTATCTTCTTAAACGTTGTTATTGCAAACTAGTGTTGTCATTGTTAACTAAATCTTGAAATTAAAGTTGAAATTAAATTAAATAAAATATAGATATTAAACAGAAACGAAAATGAGAAATGTTGATTTTGCAACTAAGTGATTTTTTTTAAGTTGAATTACTACACATAATAAAAAAACTAATACAAATGTACTAAAACGTAAACTAAAATTAAAATGAAAACCGAAATTACAAAAATAAAAACTATTTCAAAATATGAATACTATAATAGTATTCCCTCAATGTCACAATGTCATCTGGGTGAAACACTCTGCAAATTTGGGTTTTATATTCACATTTTTATAAATGTGTTTTATTCAGAATGGTTCATAGAGTAATGAACTATGAACCATTTGGTTAATGGATAATTTCACTTGTAAAATGTAGCTAGGCTATTTAATGAGCTAAAGGGTGGTAGGCTATTGATTCATAATATTTTAATGTGCGCCAATGCCATCTAGCTTTCAGAAGTCTTTTGCATATTTGATAAGCTCATCTTAATCAGCGTCTACATGTCATTGTATAGTCAATGACCTACTGATCATCAGTGCACTGACCTTTCACCTTTCCTCTTGTCTGATGATACTTCCTCTTATTCTGTGAAGAGAAAGCTCAGCTGTCAGGAGTCGCTACAGTGAATGAACTCCTCTAAAGAGGACTTGATTTGGATTTCTCTGAAAATGAAAGTACATCTTGCACATTTTCTGTATATTTTAAGCTTTCAGGTCTGAAGAACAGTTAAACGAAATGGTAAATGTTCTGATTTCATGAAGAAACTGCAGGCAATCAAGATTTCTTTGCAAAAGTAATTTGTCACCATATAATGTTTCAACATGACACATTTATTGCCAAACCGAGAGACATTTGAAAAAGAATGGTGGTATTATAAAAGTTTATGTTTCACTATGTGGTTTTCATTCATTAAACTTTTCTTTTGGAGACTATATTGTGAAGGACACAGTTTAACGAGTGTTTTGCAATCATACCATATAATGTAAGTGAATATGCTCTTCAGGTTGTGTCATTTAGTAAGCAGGGGTTTACCAGTCTATTTGCTAATATAGCAGCTTTCCTAATCCATTCAATAGAGTGCAATAAATTTTTTTTTTGAAACTGCAGTTAATGCAAAATCATTTTTACATTGTATTATGCTGTTGTAGCTACATATTCACAACAAAAGTGAAGAAAAAATCTTCCTCGCAGCACTATCCCATGATAGACCCAAACTTCACTGATAATAATATCTCATCATCAAATGACCTTTTGATGCTTCAGAAGTGCCTGTTCCCACTGTTCCCCAAGAATCAATGTGTGCTTTCAGAGGTGAGAGATGGTTGCAGCTAGCTCTGGAAGTGAAAAAGAGAGCTCATCCTGTTCTGATCCTGCTTTTATCTCTCTTCAGCTCATCATTCTGCTAGATTTGTGTGTCGTAGAGATCTTTGAAGCTGAAATTTATCTGTAAATCTCAACGTAAGACTTGAGAAAAAAATGAAAATGTAAGGCCAAGGGGAAGGGAGGTGATGCAATGAAAGCTGTATTCTATGAGAAACTAGCAGAGGTTTATGTGCTGAAGGGTGTGGGCCTAAACTTACAGACAGACAGTTTTTAATCGATTAATTTTAAGAATACTCCAGACAAAAATGAAAATTCTTACATCATTTACTCTCACCCTCATGTGGTTCCAAACCTGTATGGCTTTCTACTTCTGCAGAAACACAAAAGAAGAGATTTTAAAGAACATTGGGAATCAGACATCACTGGAGCCCTTTGACTTCCACTCAAAATATCTTCGATGTTCCACAGAAGAAAGTAGAATTTTCCGAAATCTCATTTTTTGGTAGAAAATTCAAAGTAAAGAATAGCATATACTGTTTTTTTCCCTCTTAGTTGAGTTTTTTAGATGTATGAAAGATTTGTGTGGGTATGAATCACTATCTACTGGAACATATAGTTCAGTCTGACATAAAGTGCTTGCTATCCTTTCAAAAGCAAGGTCAAGGCAGATGGCCTTCAGTACTGCCAAGCTTCAGGCTCGACAGCTGTAATCTAAAACCTGGTTTGTAGCTGGTTCATTACAAGAGATAGTCTGCTGCACAAATGGGAGATATTGCTATATTGCTCCCATTAATCGGCTGTTTGTCGTGAATATTGACCATATAGATGGCAAGTGCTATTTCCATTATATCCAATGTTGTGTCACTGTACACACTGTATTGGAAAAGATTTTAAGCATGCATGATTATCCTTCATTGCCCATGTACGGTACATCATTGCTACCCAGGTAAGCCGTACGGTCATGCACTTGATGACTTGTGCTTTTGTGAGGCCATCGTAAAAGTTTATGGCTTGGTTATGGTGATGGTGTGCCCATAATGTCATGAAAAAAGAGGCAGAGTTGAAGATCGGTAGGGAATATAAGAGCAGGAAACTTCACCCATCAGTACTTCAGTTCTCAGCTTGCACTTCCTCTCTGCTCAACAATCAACGCCCAAACCATGGCTTTCAACGGAAAGTGGGAAACCGAATCTCAGGATGGATATGAAGAGTTCTGCAAACTGATTGGTAAGCTGCAACTTTTCAAACAACTGATTTTTGCTCTGTTGATGGTGGAAAGCCACACTCTTAAAAATAAAAGTTCTTCATTTAACACTTATGGTTCCATGAAGCACATTTAACATCCACAAAACCTTTCCACTGCACAAAAGGTTCTTTACAGAAAAAAAAAGGTTCTCTAGAATATCAAAATGTTCTTCACACAAAGAAAAAAAAACTTTATTTTTAAGAGTGCAGTGGAAGAGTTTGTAATTCAAACGTGAAAAGATGGATTTATGAATTGCTATAACTTGAGAATTTCTGGCTGCACTTCCATGCACTTAAACCCAGGTTGCTCTAGTTTAGACTGTCCTTGTACTATAAATTGCTTTGGACAAGAAAATGTTGTCCTACATGTTCTGGTGTGTTTGCATCTCATTTGCAAGCACGTCTTAAGAACCAAAAAAAATCTATGAATATAAACATTTCTATAAATTATTAAAATGTTCCTCACACTGAAAAAAAAAGTTCAATGAAAGCCCAATATGGTTTTTCTATGGCATCGCTGCAAAAAAAATCCCCATTTGGAATCTTTATTTTTAAGAGGACACATTTCAATATACTCTACTGGTAAAATTATGGAATAATAAAGATTTTTGAATGTTTCTGAAACAATTCTCTTAATGGCAGCATTTATTTGATCAAACGCAAAGTAAAAACAGTTATATTGTGAAATATCATTACATTTTAAAATAATTTCTTTCTATTTTGATACATTTTAAAATGTAATTTACTCCTGTGATGGCACAACCAAATTGTAAGCAGCCATTACTCCAGTCTTTAGTGCCACATGATCCTTTAGAAATCATTCTAATATGCTGATTCGGTCCCGTACACCTCAGGTATCCCTGATGATGTCATCTCAAAGGGCCGTGACTTCAAGCTTGTGACAGAGGTCATCCAGAACGGAGATGATTTCACATGGATCCAGTACTACCCAAATAACCATGTTGTGACCAACAAGTTCATCGTTGGCAAAGAGAGTGACATGGAGACTGTTGGAGGGAAGAAATTTAAGGTAGGACCTCATAACTTTCATGAGAGATCAGACTGAAGCTACTATGACTTCAGTGAGATTCTTAAAGGGGTCATCGGATGCAAAATTCACTTTACAAGTTGTTTGCACATAAATGTGTTGAAAGTGTGTGTACACATCCACCCTATAATGATAAAAATCCACCCAGTGTTTATTTATTTATTTTTTAAATCCCTATTTTAAAATCCCCTTTCTCAAATCAGGCTGTTCTGAGATTCTTGTCAGAATGACATAGTTCTGTACAGGCCCCTCCCACGATGTTGATTGACAAGGCCGTTTTACCTTAGACCCGCCCTGAGTGAGCTGTCATCAGTCCGCCATTGTGTCGACTCCGGTGCAGGGGAAGACAAGAATGTCTCCGATTAAGATTGAGGTGTTTTGTTGTTGGATGTAAGAATGAATATAGCAGTCGTCATTTATTCCCGACATCTGAGCCGCTGAAGACGCAGAGGATTAACTTACTTTCGTTTCTGAAGGGAATGAGCCGATCCCGATCTGCCTAAATGCGTCTATGTTCGCGCGAATCATTCGTGATCCAGCTTCACCTACAGAATAAGTGAGTATAAGGGTTTTTTATGAATCTTTGCAAATCGCCTTTCCTAATAATGTGCTAGTTAGCCAGTTTTGCCGCTGAAGTTTACAGTCTGCTCGTCACCCCACGGAAGAGAGGGGCGGGGTCAGCAGAGCTCATTAGCATTTAAAGCAACATGGACTAGAATGGCTTGCTTGAAAAGAGCTGATTTGACAGGATAAAAAAAAGGTGTTTTTTACACTACCATTGAGAAATTTTAACCAAAGTATGTTATAGACTTTTGATTAAAACCCTAAAGAATCATATCAACTTGTGGAAAATGGGCATCCGATGACCCCTTTAAAGGCTAGTATGCAAGTGATGAGAACTCACACTTGCATATCCTCACTAGGGCATAGTCTCCATGGAAGGGGGCAAGCTGGCCATAAGTTTCCCCAAGTACCACCACACATCTGAGATCAGCGGTGGAAAGCTGGTGGAGGTGAGATATCATGATATTTGACTTTGTGAAATGAGTTTCAATGCTTGTACAGTAGCTAAAGTGCTTTTGCTTTGCTTTACAGACCTCCACAGCCACTTGTG